TACTGTGTGATTTGGGGCAAGGGTCTTTGTCTCTTCTTGTTTTGTTTCCCTCTTGGTTGTTTCTTCTTTGGGATATTTTGGGATTTTCCAAAGGCAGAATGGAGCTAAGATGGACAGAGTGTGGGTAGCAAGGGCTGTGAAGCCAAACACACCAGGCTCTTATCCTCAGTGACTCCATCTCACTGTTGTGTGACCTCAGGCAAGTCACTTAACCTTCTGAGACCAGTGTCCCCATCCGCAGAAAGGGACAGTGGTGCCTTACTCATAGGGCTATTGTGGATATGCCTAGGACCTGGCACACAGTAGGCCCTACAGGTATTGGTGCTCAAATGACCAGGACCACACATCCTTCCAGATATAATCTCAGATGAGCTGAATTTTCCGCCTATACTGTTCACCAAGATAGAAGCATGCCCCTTATCAACTCCCCACCCCATAGCCTGATCCTCACCCAGAAGGTTTTGTGGGGGCATGGGGAGTAGCTTTGTAGACCTGGCTATGAATGACAGCTTCTTCACTTATCAACCAAGTCAAGGACTCAAGTCAGAGGAACCAGTTCTTCTATACTAGTAAATGGAGATGATAACTTGCAGGGGTGGCAGAGACCAGACACTGCAGACCACTGAGCCTGGCACTCGCTGGATACTCGTTAAGGGGTAGCTGCTGTGGCCGAGGAGCCTTATGTCATAGAAGCTCGCATGTTGCTCTGTTAAAAGGTGTCTAGTGATTTGCAGCCTATCACCAATTTCCACCAGTCTGACACTTCCAGCTCTGCCTTTGGAGGCCAGGTCCCATCTTCTTTCTCCATGGCTGACTGCATGCACTGACAAAGAACCAAAATCAGACTTGCTCTCCCTGAGGCAGGAGGGGGGTTCTGTTCCGTGCTTTTCTCCAAGCTCCTTGCATTCCCTGGCTGGTAGAGGTATCACTCCAGTCTCAGCCTTGGTCATCACTGTGGCCTTCTCTCTGCGAGTCTGTGTCTCTCCCTTCTTATAAGGACACCAGTCATATCAGATTAAGGGCCTTCCCTACCCCAGAACGATCTCATTCTAACTAATTGTATCTGTAATGACCCCAATTAAGGTCACATTCTGAGGTTCCAAGAAAGACATGATTTGCGGGGGAGACTCTCTAACCCACTGACCATCATGCGAACAGGTAGTTCTCAGGAGCCCTTGACCCCATCACCTCACCACATTGTCTTCTCTGGATAACTTTTTTGGCTGGGAGTGACAGACACTCAGTCCCAGCTAACATAAGCAAAAGATTGAGTGTATTAGCTTGGAGAAGGGATGCCATGATTAGTTCTCAGGGAAAAGCAGCACCAAGGTTCCAGGGAGAGAGGCACCAATGAGGCCTGGGCAAGCTCTGAACTGGGTCTGAAATGATATGGAAGCTTAGGTTATAGGGAGAGGGACATGTTCAGACAGGGAGCCCCAAAGCCTCCTATCTCAGCTCTCTTCCACCAAGTGCCACCAGGAACCCCAGCCGCCCTTTCTCCCTCAGCTCCTCCCAGTTCACCGGCCCCTGCCATGCCTTGATATTCCACACGGGCAACCAGGTTGTTAGTGAGAGCTGTACTTCACAGCACACTCCCCTGTTCTTCAGCAACCTCCGGCAGGCAGTGTCCCCATTGTGCAGATGAAGAAAGTAAGGGCCTAGGGGGTGAGTGGCATCCTTAGCAATGCATGTGAGGCTTCGGACTTGAGTAATGCTAAACCCCCAAAGCCAGCGGACACCCTTAGACGGGTGAACAGGATTTATCTCAATCCCAGAAAGTTCACAGAACACAACAGATACCTTTTTTGTGTGTGCATTTGAAGAGCAGCTGTGCACAAGACTAAATAATTTGAAAATCAGCAGTTTCTTAAGCAGGTTACCATGGACCAGGTCCTGGCAAGGCTGTGCTTGGATAGAATGCACCTACTTTCGTGAATGGTTTGAGCACAGGCCTAGCCCTGCCCTGCTCTGAGAAAACCTTGTATTGTGGATCTGTGCTCTCCCTGTCAGATCTCATTCCGAGCTGTTTTGCAGGCAAATGGGTGAAATTTCTTCCAGTTGACATTTGCCTGCTATCCTGTCTCCTCATATTGTTCCTGATAAATCCCTGAGGACAGAGGCCTGCGCAGTCCCAGAGGTGGTGCTGGTGTGGAGGGGCTGGATTTCGACATGGCCCAGTTTCTCCTGAGCTGGGAGCCCACTAAGGGTTTGTTGAGATCTGCCCTCAAAATACACAGTGGTCCTTGTCCAGGGACCTGCAACCAAATGAGGAGGGGACAGAGGGAGAGGGACGAGTTATGAAGAAACTGCTTTGCCTATTTACGACCCGAAACGTGAGAGCCATGGCTGTGCTGTAGGTGGAGAGGGCAAAGCTCACATGGTCAGGGCTCTGCTTCTAGGATGACTCAGCTGCCCCACCTGGCTCAGGCCACTTGGACCCCACCTGACCTCCTCCAGGACACCTTGGACAGGCCTGCAGCTCAGAGCAGCTGCCCCTACTGAGCCTGATGCTTCCACAACCAAGGAGGCCTGGGCTGCGGCCAGGAACAGGCCCTCCTGGGGGGGGGGGGGTGCTGCTTCAAGACAGCGCAAAGGAGGGTGCAATAACACCTGTGTCCTCGGCACTCCTGCTCAGGGCCAGCGCCCAGGGAGAAACAGCAGAGTAGGGCTGATGTGAAGGACAACAGGGGTGCGAGGAGAGTGCCCACAGAAAGATGTGGCCTCCCAGGTCATGGGCAGGTCGGAACTGGGAAAGGAGAGGCCCAGGCCTCTGGAGAATGGAGGACCAGAGATTAAAGCAAGGAGGACAAGGCAGTGGATGGAGGGCAGAAGCAAAGGTGTGTGACTTCGCGTCATTCCTGAGCGAGAACATTGGAACAGTTGGAACTGAAGCAGCAAGCAGAGTCAGAGGACTGACCCGAGGCAGAATGCCCATTTAGAGCTTGGATATCCTCAAGAACAAAAGTCCAGTGTTTTTTATTGATTTCAGAGAGAGGAAGGGAAAAATATAGAAACATCAATGAGGAGACATAATATTGATTGACTGCCTCCTATACACCCTCTACTTGGGATCAAGTCCAAAACTGGGATATGTGCCCTTACCCAGAATTGAACCATGAACTCCTAGTTCATGGGTTGAGGCTCAGCCACTGAGCCACACTAGCTGGGCCAAAAGTCCATATTTAAAGTCCTGCAATTAGACACATCCATGTCAAAAAGTTTTTACATGCAAGAATGGAGAGACATCCTATAAGCATTGGAGGAATCAGGTGGTCACCCCACTGTACCCCAGTCGTTGGCTGTCCCTGTGACTCTGCCCAGTAAGAGGATCTCTGAAAGGCATGCAGCTGGGGCAGAGCCTGGCCTCACAGGCTGCCAGGCTGTCCTGTTCCCTTCTTCCCAGAAACGGAAAGGTTGCTTCTCCTTCGCACTCTTTACCTTCCGAGTCACACACCTTTGAGTTGGCATGGCGTGGCTTCTGTGGTTTATAAATCGTCATTTTTATATGAGCGTTGGGCCTGAGTCTCACTAGTCTTGGCTAAACATAGTCACTTCACTCCCCTCATTAGTGATGGGTTTAGGGAAGGGCTTTGACACAGTTCAGGCTCGTGGAGAAGGAGAAAGCTGATGTGCGTGAAACAACAGACCTGAGATGACAGCCACCGTGCTGCTTTGGTGCAGGGGATGGGATACACACACACACACACACACACACACACACACACACACACGATGATGATCTGGCTGGGATGGCGGCATTGATGGTACAGCAGCACTGGAAGTGCCACTTCCAGACTCTTAGTGTGACAATAAATCCTGGTGTCTTACTTCTTAAGCAGCTGAATATTCTGCTCCTTTATATTCGTAACTGTCTGTGAGTTATCTTAAAATAATAATGGTGCAGTAGACGAGGGGTAAAACGCTGTAGTATGTTTACACAAGGGGATACTACTCAGCCATAAAAAAAAAAGAAGGAAATCTTGCCTTTTGTGACAGCATGAATGGACTTGGAGAGTATTATGCTAAGTGAAATAAGCCGGTCAGAGAAAGACAAGTACCACATGATCTCACTTATATGTGGAATCTAATGAACAAAATAAAGAAACAAACAAAATAGATACAGACATATATATATATATATATATATATATATATATATATATATACACACACAGAACAGACTGACAGCTGTTAGAGGGGAGGGGGATTGGAGGTGGGTGAAACAGGTGAAGGGATTAAGCAAAAACAAACAAACAAACAAAGAACAACTTCATAGACACAGACAATAGTGAGGTGATTACCAGAGGGAAAGATGGGTGGGTGGAGATAGGAAGGGGTAAAGGGCAGATAAATGGTGATGGAAAGAGACTTGCTTTTGGGTGGTGAACACACATGAGACAGATGATGTATTATATAGATGTGTACACCTGAAACTGTATAAATGTATTAACCAATGTTACCCCTAGAAATTCAATAAAAATTTTTGTTTCCTATTTTAAAAAAGAAAACATTAAGTTTATGTAGGTTCTAAACCTCCTTTGAAAAATGAAGAAAGAAAAAATAATAAAGTATCCCAAAATACTGTAATAGTTATGTCTAGGAAGTGGGATTCTCAACAGTTTTCTTTTTTTAGACATTCTCATAGTATTCCAGTTTTCCTCACTGTGCAAGTATTAGTTTTTAAGTCAGAAAAACAACTTTGTGTGAGAAAGTAGCTGTAATGTGTATAATTGCATCATCACAATCGGGTGTACAACTTGGGCCAGGATTGCCCCGGGAGGTGGCGAGAGTGTCAGCACCACCGTCCTGCAGCTGGCTGCTCCTCTCCCCCTGGGGCGCTAGACCCACTTCCCACAGCACTAGACCCGCTGCGGCCCCCTGGTTCTCTCTGAAGAGGTACTGGGAGCTGCTGCCTAAGCCATGGTGTTGAGTGAGTGAGCCCTTGCTCACCCCTCTACCCCGGGATGGAGCCCCACGCCTGCCTGCTTTCTGTCCCACAGGCCCCGCAGGCTGGAGCCCATGTGCTCAGAGCTGCAGGCTCAGATCCTTCGCTGCTACCGTGACCGCCTGAATGAGGTGCTCCTGTGCTCAGACCTGGTCAAGGCTTACCAGCACTGTGTGAGTGCTGCCCACAAGGTAAGGCCCAGGGCTTCTGGGCTGTGGGGATGTAGGGACGGGCACTGCCAGTGCTGACAGCTGTCTGCCATCTCTGTCTGCTGCATCAGGCATTCTAACCTCAAGGTCTCTGCCTTTCACACGGGGAGGGACTCATAGGCCTTAGATGCCCTCAGGCGCCTCCTGATTCAGATGTCCTGTCCAGCTGTTCCCACAGGGCTCTTGGAAATCTAGACTAGGAAAAGGGCCCTGTGGGCATTTGGGCTCCACTAGGTTAAGTTCAGGGGCAGCACTGGGCAAAGTCAGGCCCCACCTTCAAGGGGCCAGTTAAGAGCATGTATATGCCGCCCATTTCTTACCTTTGAGCACTTGGGGGTGGGAGCACGGAGGAGGGCCCATGGAGATTATGGAAAAGGCAGGTGAGCCCTATGGAAGGAGAAGAGCCTTGGGGTTCTGGAGGTGGAGGCACAGGTGTGGCCTGCCTCAGAGGAGGAGGGGACCGAGGGCACCCCCCTGCCCACCCCACTCCTAAGGTTGTCTGAAGGGGCATGCAGGACCCAGCCTCTGTGAGAAAGAAGGAGTAACAGTGGGTCCAGGTCTCAGGGGCCTGTGGTTGTCCTAGACATCTGAGGCTGGCAGCATCCCTCCCCTGAGACTTGGTCCTAGGACCTTGTCCTCCTTCTCTGATCCTCCCAACCAGTTCCCATTCCCTTCCTCACACCTCCCAATTTCTGTCCCTCTTCTAGACCATTCCATCCCCTCCCCAAATACACTGCTCCAGACTGGACCTGGCCCCCACACACATACTTAGGGGCATTTGGGTTCTGAATCACCAGAGGGCTGGTATGTTTGTTAAAGGAACTGTGGGGTGGGGCCTTTTCCCTGTGGAACAGCCTCTTTTGCCCAAGTAGGAGACAAGCTGCTGTGAGTTCTGGTGGTGGAAACCCAAAGATCAGAAGTCAAGGATTTCTCTGCTGAGGTCAATGGCCTGGCCTCACTAGAGCCCTTCTCACTCTTCTGTCCGCCTGTTGGAGGCTCTACCCAGCTCACACCTGCCCGGTGCAGCTGTGGGACAGAGGGAATCCAGCAGCAGGTCCGCACGGGATCAGGTGGAGGCAGCAGCTGGATAGGTGGTCATTTCCTCTCCCCTGCGGAGCATGGAAAACTGTTTGCTCATCTTCAAGTTGAGCAGAAAAGACAGCCAACCATTGCTGCAGCCCTGTTGAGGGAAGGAGTCTGGAGCTAGGCGGCTTGCTAGACCATACTGGGGGCCATGGAACCGAAGGAAGGCTCTCCCATGCCTTGTGCATCTGCCGAGGTCTTTGTGAAAGTCTGCAGAGTACCTTTCCCCTGACAGGCCCTTCCAAGCCCCTGCTCATCACCCATAACGAGGGTTATTTTTACAAGGGAAGTCCTGGGACTGAGGCAGCTCTCCTGGAGTCCTGTCTCTGACCTCCCTCTCATCCAGAACCAACCCCCCATTTCCCCCCCGCCCCCTCACACACACACACACACGGAGGCTAAGGTATGATCACAAAGGAAGGCAGATTGCATTTAACCAACAGTGCTCTCTCTAGCTCCAGCATGCCTGAGAGAGATTGGGGCGCTGCCAGGCCTGGCTCCCTCTTTCCCACACCTGTGCCTCCCCTCCCCGCAGAAAAGCATGTTGGACCTGACTCCAGAAGGGCCTCTGTGCCCTGCGCAGGGCCTCTGATTGTGCCCTGCGGTGACAGAGAAACTCAAACTGCCCCCTGCCAGCCTCCACTGCAGAGGAGCCTGGCAGAGCTGGCGATTGAGTTCAAGGCTCTAATAGTGATTTGCTTCTAGAAGCGGCCAGGTGGCAGTGTCTCTGGCAGAGGGAGTAGGCACCGATCAGAGGCCCACCTTGCTGGGAGTTGTGCACAAGGCGCTTCTCAGAGCACGGGCAAGCTCCTGCCCGTTGCAGCACCTGCCCAGCCTGGTGACGTGTGTGGATGTGGATGTGACAGCAGGTGAAAGCCTGAGTCCAGGACATGCTCTCCAAGTGGTTTCCAGTAGGCAGTTCTGAGAGAACAGGGGATACCTGGTGGGGCTGAGGAGAACTGAGCTGAGGCCCATCTGTCTTCGGGGCGGGAGGTCAGGTGAGTAGAGGGTCCATGTTAGCTGGTCCTTGTGGCATGCACTGAGTGAGCACTGTGCCTGGAGGTGGAGAGGCCAGTTCCAGGCTGCAGGACCAGCTGGGCAGGACTCTTCCTGTTAACGCCCTCTTGGAGCCTAGGCCTGGGTGCACAGGGTTGTTGAGAGAAGAGGGTCATGCCTGAACTCTGACCTCTTCCTTTGTAGGGCTGAGAAGCAACCACCATTCCTGGCGCTGGCGATGACTTAGAGCCTTGAAGAAGAGACCAGTTATGGGACCACAGCCTCCAGACCCCCCGACCACAGCCATCTTCTGCCAGGTGCCCATGATGCTTAAGAAATGAAGGATGTGCTTCTGTCCGAAAACAAATAAAGCAGCTGTCTGTGTTTTCAGTCACTTCTACAACTGGCAGACAGTCATTGGGGTCTCCTCTGTGCAGCCCTGTTCTGGGCCCAGCAATGTAGGCTGACAGGATAGGCTGGACACCTCGAGGAGCACCCAGCCTCGCAGGGAGACAGGTGGGACCCATAATTCTGCTGTGGCCACAGGGGCAGGTAAGAGATTAAATGGGGGAAATGGTTCTTTCTAGGGACAGAGCCAGGACAACAGGCCAGCTCCCTGGCAGAGGCTGTCTGAGCTCCATTTCTGAAGCTGACGGATGACTCCAGGGCAAGCCAGAGGAGGCTTAGAGTGGGATCCCAGATGCGGGCTCAGGGGAGCACAGACTGCGCGCAGCTGGGCGTTGCTGAGAGCAAAGTGGGAGCCGGAGGGCAGGGGGTAGATGCCAAGCTGAACTGCTTTGGGGGGTGGAGGGATGGTCTCTAGCAGGGAACAGCGTTGTTCAATCCCTCCCTCTGAATGATGCCACTCACACTCCTAGGGGAGGATTGGCCCAAGTGGGGCAGGGCACTTGAAGGTATGAGAAGCCAGAGAGGCTGGTGGGGTGAGCCAGGGGAGCTAAAATGACAGGACTCTGGTTTGGATCGAGGATGATTTCCAAATTTCTGGCTTGGGTGCTGCTGATTCTATAGACTGAAATGAGAGACACAGGGACTAAAGGGGGCAGATGACAGCTGGGTTTGAGATGTGCTGTACTCAGTTGATGTCCAAACACTGGCCTGCTAGTCCCTGACCTTTGGCAGGGCCCTAAGCTGAGGCGCCTTGAGCACCCAGGGCTGCACTCTGTGAGGCCGAAAGAGGAATTTGAATTGGGGGTGGGGCTTCTGCTTCTGCTGACCTTGGATTTCCTGCTAAAGTTTGTTTGGAGAGCCCCCAGCCATCTGGAGCGAAGAGACTGCACAATCTTAACTTAGGCTTTGCAGCCCAGACATTGCTGTTCACCCCTAGATCCTCATACACAAAGCTCCAGTGGGCAGTGGGCAGTGGGCAGTGTCCTGTTATCTGAGCAGGTAGAGGAAGCAGTTTTATTCAGCTGGGTTACATAGTGGCGGCCCCCTCTGGGCTCCTTTACCAGACCACACAAAGGTGAGTGGTCAGGGCCTGAGCCCCTCCCAGCCAACTCCTGGCAGCCCAGGGCGGGGCTGGCCCTCTGCAGGGTCAGGCTGCTGGAGTCACAGGTCACCTGGTTCATTATCTTAAGTGACATCAGAGCAGCCATTCAGCCAAAAACCGCTGAGGCCTTTCTGAGACTCCCTTAGAAGCCTCTGGTGTCCAGGGTGTTGTCCAACTTCCAAATCACGCAGGAATAACTCCAGACTCCACCCTCCTACCCAGGAGTCACTTGGGGGTAGCTGTGTGTACACCTGGGTCTGTGTGTACCTGTCCATCTGTGTGTGTGTGTGTGTGTGTGTGTGTGTGTGTGTGTGTGTGTATGTGTATGTGTACTGGGCTATGTGCACAGTCCACGCATAGCTTTTTACCTGTGATGTGTATTTAGGTGCCTTTGTATGTGTGCACAGGCAGCCAGCCATGTTCACCACCTGCTAATGCTCCCAGCCTCTCTGTACTTGGATCTTAGCCCATTTCCTGTAGAGTTAGAACTGAGCTTCCCTTGCCTGATGTCCACCTCTCCCCTACTGGGGACTTGAGGTATGTGTGTCCAGAGCCATCTGTATCAGTGTGTGGGAGGGTCGGTGTGTGTGTGTGTGGGGGGGGTGCGTGTGCTCAGGGTTCAGGTGTTGTGTGCATATGTGTATGTACCTGTACATTACTCGCTTATGTGTGGACCTGTCTCCAGTCCCGCCACATGGCCATACCTCACAGAAAGTCAGGCCTGAGAGAGATTGTATGGGGGAGGGGTATGTTCAGTAAGGTGTGGACCTGGAGGCAGACATTCACATTCCTGGACTCAGGTCCCAGCTGTATGACTACTGAGAGGGAGGGAGTGTGAATGCCCATCCCGCCCGGTTGTGGGGGATTAGATATGATGATGCTGGCTGTGGCATATGGGATCCAACCAGGACACTAGAAAACACTGTAATTATTTAAACATAAGGAATTTAATACAGGGAGTTGATCACAAAGGAGATGGAGGAGCTGAAACCCCAATGGGATAGTGTTATAACCCAGGAATTAGTAACAGTGGGAAGATTCTGTCACCTCTGGTTTAGAGGGACAAAGAGAAGAGACAGAATTGCCCAGTGGAAGCTGGTACCCCAGGGGTTGGGACCACCAAGGGGACACAGCTGCTACAAGAGGTGCTGCCTATGGGCTTCCCCTCCTCCCACCCTCCAGTCTCCTTTCATTCGTGCCTTCCCTTGGCTAAAGCTAGTAGGGTTGGAGGGCAAAGCAGCCCCGGAGCTGCTCCTTGCATGGAGGAGTGGCATGAGGCCCAGGACCACAAGCAGATCAACAGGAAGCACATCAACATGACGTTTGGGGTGTACTGAGCAGGCATGTGTGCCTGTGCTTGGGTGGGTGTGAGTAGTGGGTGCCAGTGGCAGCACGTGCACACACTTGTGTGCATTTATAGCTTGTATTGGCACATGGTGGCCAACTATCAATCAGCCCCAGCAGTCACCCACGGTCCAGATTCTCTCCACACCTGTCTCCCACGGGCCTGCAGAATAGTTCCGCAGTTACTGCCACACTTTACAGATCAGGGAACTGTGGTGCAGAGAATCAGAGCAACTAGCTCCAGGTTGTGCAACCTGGCCCAGTGGTTGCCTCTGGGCAGAGTCTGGATCTCCTTGAATAAGGAGCTTATCCACGGGCTATAGGGGCAGTGAAGTTAGGAGAGGAGCAGGGCAGGGTCCAACGTGCGCCAGGAGGGAGTCCCCCAGGGGTCACCTTAGTTATTCCTCTTTTGCACAACAAACATGGCATTGAATGCTTGCTGTGTGCAGTCATGGTTCTAGTGCTGGAGGTGCAGCATTGAGCAGAGCACAGCTGCCCCCAGGTTCTCAGAGATCCGCAGGGGAGACAGACAAGATAAAATCAATTATCTAAGATGTTTTGCAATGGGGGAAAGTCGGGGGCCCAGGAGTGCCAGAGGTGGAAGTTGCCATTTCCAGTGAGAACAGGATACCTGTACCCCCACTCCTTGGGGGTTCCCACTCCCAGACAAAGCCAGCTGCCAGCCTCTCTGAGGCCTTGGAACCAGCACAGCCAAACCCAGGTTACTCTTAAGGAAAAACACTTGCACTTCATACCTGATAACCTGCCTCATTAAATTTAATGGGCCAGTTATTCCCGTAAAATAAACATCAACTAATTATAAAAAACACATTTGCTGAAGTTTGACTATGGAATGAATAAACCAATTACATGGTTATTCAGCCTCAAAACACACAGCAATGAAGGGGGAAGACCACAACAGGGGCGGGGGTTGTGGGGGGTGGGCTGGTGGAGCATTTGGAATTCAGAGTCCCCATCCCTCCCCACTTCCGTCCAGAGCTCAGTGGGCATCAAGAAAGTAAGCATCTCGGAGAGGTGGGCAGACTGCAGCCCACACTGGGGCTGACTCGGACCCTGCTTCAGTCAGGACCCTTTTAGCGCAAGTGACTTAAATGGACTTAAGCAAAAGAGTGTGTTGGCTCATGCAATTGAAAAGTCAAGAAGGAGGCCTCAGCATGGTGGATCTGAGAGATTAAACAGTGGCTGGGACTGGTCTCTTTCCTCCTGTCTCTTTGCTCTGTCCTCTCTGTGGCCTTCACTCTTGGGCTCCATGAAGTGCCCCAATGAGTCATGCCTTGTAGAGTTTCTCTTTCCCTTTAGCTCTAGCGTGGAGTTGAAAGGCAGGTAATAAATCACTCTAGAGCTGACAAAGTGATATCAGGAATCTCTCAGGGGAGGCCAATAAACACACAAAAAAAATGTTTCACACCCTTACGACTCATCAGGGAAATGTAAAAGAAAGCCATAAAGAAATACTTCTACACACCCATCCACTGGCTGAACTTCCAAGGACAGACAACCTCCGGGCCCTCATACACTGCTGCTAGGAGTGCAGGATAATTATACTACTTTGAAAAATGACTGGGCAGTTTCCTATAAAGTTAAACATTCACTTACACTCCAAATGCAGGAAGTTTACTCCTGTATCGATACTTAGGAGAATGAATATGCATGGTCATTAGATGTTACATACAGAAATGTTCGTATCCCATCTAATAAAGAGGGAGTATGCTAATTGACCCTCACGCTGTTGCAAAGATGGTGGCGCCCACAGTGAATACAAAGAGAATATGCTAATTGACTTCCCCACCCTCAAAGATGGCAACACACACAGCCAATAAGGAAGGAATATGCTAATTGACTGTTACACCCTCAAAAGATGGCCGCACCCAGTCCCCTCAGCCCAAGGCCACCCGAGGCTTGTGCTGCCAGCTGTGGCAGCAGCAGAGGTGTGATGGGGGCATCATATTCCCCTGATAGTCAGGTAGCATCCCACCCCTGAGGGCTCCCGGATTGTGAGAGGGGGCAAGCTAGTTTGAGGGACCCTCTCCCCGCTTCAGTGCATGAATTTTCATGCACTGGACAGCTAGTCTATATGTATATAAAAACCTAGGTGACTGACCATCCAACTGGTAGCTATGATGTGCAGTGACCACCATGGGGCAGATGCTCAGCGCAGGAGCTACCAGACTTCAGTGACCTGGCAGCTGCGCTTCTTGGCTGACACACTCAGAACCAGAAAGGAGGGAGCCTGATTCCGGGGATTCATCACCCGAGAAGCTCCCTCTTGTAATCTGGGATGAGGGAAGGGTGTCAGAGTGCCAATTTCGGCCCAATCCTCAGAGGCCAGACCGAG